AAGGATCTGGGGAGCTAAGTGTCAGCAGGGAGGCCCCAGGACCACATACTCATGTTGGCCAGGCAGCTACCAGTCTCAGCCTCGGGCTCTGGCTCCTTGGTGAAGTAGACCTGCCAGTCCAAACTGCTGACCCAATTCTCGTAGGTGGGAAGTGCTGTGAAGACTGCAGGCTGTGCAGGGCCTTGACAGGCATCTCCAAAGCTGTGTAGCCCAGCCAGGAACCATGTGCCCCTCACTTCGTGCACTAGTGGTGCCCCAGACAGGCCCTGTCAGGGGTCAGGTGACACTGGGTGACATCTTTTTCCCCAGAGGCAGCTATGAAGAGCAGAAGGGGCTAGGGGACGGGCTGAGGCTCTTTATTTGAAAGCCAGCAGAAAGGCTGAGTTTCAGGGGAGAGGCAGCTCTGGGGTAAGGTTTGGGGGACTGGGGCTTACCTCACAGCAGGGCAGCTCACCCACAACACTGGTACACACCATCCCTGGCAGAAGGGGGATGCCATCGCTCCCAAGGGTTGTATGCAGCTGGCTGCAGGCCCTGAGCCCCAGGATGGTGACAGGCACTGTCTGAGAGAAGCTGGTGCCTGCTCGGAGGGGGGAAGACCTGGCTGCCCAGTGGCCTCTAGGCTGATGGACAGCTGCTGGTAACCCTTTCCTACATACCTGCTCCTTGGGCCAGCCCCAGGACCCAGCCACGTTCCCCAGCAGGCAGGTGGTGGTCAGCGTAGGGCACGCAGAGGGGCCTCAGGCTAGGGCCCAATGTCACAGGCTCGGCCAGCAGCAGGAGAGCCACATCATAGCCCCCTTCTGGGTGGGTGTAAGCCCCATGCAGAATGAGTTGCTTTAGGCCCCACTCCTCTGGTCCAGCCCCCAGCCCTACACTCCATTCCTCTGGGTTCTGACGCCTGTAGAGACAGCATTGACAGCATTGGGTGGCAGGGCTGCCAGCAGGGGCAGGAGGGAGGTGCATAAAGGTGAGGGAAACAAGGCTCACCCAATGAAGCAGTGCGCAGCAGTCAGAACCACCTCCTCTGACACCAGGGCTCCCCCACAGGCCAGCTTCCCCTGGTGCTTCAGCCTGGCATCCCAGGGCCATGAGGAGGGGGCTCCTGCCTGGGGACCTTCTCTCCTCAAGGATCCGCAGGCTGAAACAGATGGATTACACCATCTGCCTTCTTGCTAAGTGCTCACTATGTACCAGGCCCTGTGCTAAGCACTTCTAGTGGACTATCAAATCCTCACAAAATTTTAAGTTGAATTTTGTTACCCTTGTAACCAAAGTTCCAGAGAGGTTAAGTGACTTTATAGCTCAATAACCACAGGCAAGTAGCAGACTTGAGATTCAAAAGCCATGGCCTTAGCTTTTAACCCTGATAGTCCAGCCTCAAGGGAGTGGTGTGTTCATCATTCTTCCACCCCACCTGTCTGCACCCCTCCGGGCTTGGACTGGCCCCAGAATCCCTGGCTCACTATACTTCTCTTACCATCAAGACATAGCTTCAGTCCCAGGAATTATTTTGCATGCAATTTGCATGTTAGTCACTTAATGCCAGAATTCTGAATGGGAGCCCTGCCCGGTCTCACTGGGTCCCTACTTGGAAATTTGCAGCCAGATCTCAGAGACCTCTCTTCTTAAACTCCAAACCCATAAAGTTCTGGAGCATCTATGCCTCTCAGCCCTAAATGCGGCTGTTCCCATCTTAGGACCCCTAGTTAGTATGTGGCAGTTTGTAGATACCCTATATCAATTCTCTAGTCTGAGCTGATATTTATTTAACTGTGGTCCTCATTCAGGCCTGAATATAGCACATACATTGTAGCACACTCTGAACAGCTCCTGCTCATACCTACACAGCTGTCCTCATCACTGATCTCCAGGGTCTCTGGGTTCTGGGCCAGAAAGGCTGCCCCTTGAGCTCGAGCCTTCAGCCAGGAGCTGTAAACAGCCATGTCAGTCAGTAGCACAGGAGTGTCTTCCTGGGCACAGCTTGATGTGAAACTGATGATCCCAGTCTGAACCCAGTGTCCATCAGGCTCTTGGCACAGCACGGGACCCCCAGAATCTCCCTAGAGCAGGCAAAGGAGTCAAGGACAGATACCTGAGCTATCCAGCCCTGGGCAGACATTCTCTGCAGCCCTTCTGCCCATCCTGTGGATCGAGGACCCAGCCCAAGGCCAAGCCCTCCCCTTCTGCTCCCTTCCTCTCTCCTCCCCGTCAGACCTGACAAGGCCCCTGCACCCCAGGCTGGGCACCCCCACACAGCATCCCGGGCCGGGCAGGGCTGGCCAGCAGCCGCTGGTGCAGCCGATTGTAGAGACAATTGCATGTGGGGCGGCTGATTAGACGCAGGCGCAGATTCCGTAGAGTCCTGGGAGCTGGCAAAAGAGAGGGGATTGGGGCCAGAGTCTGGGCTCTGGGGAGCAAGGGAGCCTGGAAGCAGGGACAGTTGGCAGCTGAGGCTGTATGCCTCTTTGGGCTTCAGTCTAGGACAGCACTTACCATCATTGGTGTCCTGATCCCAACCAGTGGCCCAGCAAGAGGTCCCAAAGGGAAAGCGATGGCCAGGCTGGGGCAAGCAGAGGGGCATGTGGGCCGTAGGGTGAGCGAGCTGTAGCAGGGCCAGGTCTGAGCCCTGGCTGTAGTGATTATAGGCCCTGGGCAGCTGCAGAGCAGTCACTCCCACTTCCTCAGCCCCTGGGCTCAGCCCCTTACGCTGCAGAGAGCCCAGGACAACTGACCAGGAGTTCAGTTCTGTCACTGTTGCTCTGGAAGGAGAAGGACAAGGCCCAGGAATGGAGTGCAGAGGAGTAAGTGACACCATGAAAGGTAGCACAAGGTAGGTGAAAAATATTAGCCCATGGCTTTAAGCGAGGTCTTTGCTTCTCACAACCTCAATTTCTCATTTGTAAGGTTTCTATCATGAAAGGTTGTTAAGATTAACTTGATAATATATACCTAGCACATGGCATAGTCTCAGTAAATGGCACTTTGTTATTCTAGGGGCAAGGATTAGTCTTGGGTTTGGGGACACATCACCTACCCTCAATGCCAGAAACCCTGTCTAACCCAGCCACAACTCACTTTTCAAAGCAGTGGGCAGCAGTGAGGACCCAGGTGTCTGCCACTAGGGATCCACTGCAGATGTGGAACCCCTGCCTCCTCACACTGGCCTGCCATGGCCACTCGCCAAGCTCCGTTTTGCCCTCCTGAGGTTCAGGGGGGCCAGGGCCACGCTGCCCACAGGCTGTAAAGAGGGATGGGTCAGGCTAACAGCAGGTCCCTATCCTGCCCTCACTGCAGGTCTGACCCAGACCCAAGTAAGGCCCAGGCCCCTGTCTCCAAAGCTTACCACGCTGAGCTCCTTGAAGACCTGGAAAGAGAGAGACATAGGTGAGACTTGGGGGAGACTTACTTTCCTGGCCGAGCTTTGGTGGAGGGGACAGGTAGGTGAGACTGGCCCTGGGTCCTTGCCTATGACTCTGTGACTATCTCACCAGCCCCTCCCAGAATGAAAATATTTATATGAGGTCAAGAAACAGCTTTTACTGGAACCTATTCAGAGCATATGCTCAGTAATTAATTCTCCCTCAGCTGTGCTCAGCACTCCTGGGCCTGAGGAGTAGGGCCTGGGATTCAACTTGGGACAAGGCCAACCTTCCTCCAGGGTTCAGAACCCCCCGATTCCTGCCCCTGCCACTGAGTCAGGGAGGTGGCCTGTGTATATAGAGAGCATTAACTTAATTGTGCCCTCAGCCATGACAGCTTCAGAGGAAGGATTAGATGCCTGTGTCATGTCCAGGTGATAGACAGCTCCAAGAGATTGAGACTCACCTCACCCATTCTGACGACTCAGACTCCCCCACCTTTTTAGAAACCAACAGACTCTACCAAGTTCCCCTGCCCTGCCTCTTCCTCATCATAGGCACACACAAACACATCCATTGAACATCTGAGCCCAGAGATGGGACATATGTAAAGACTGGGAGACTGAGGCCAAAGGTTCCCAGAATTTGCCTAAGGTTATCCTGGAGGTAGAGAGGCAGATGGGAGGACAGGGTACATATACAGGCACTGTGACAGTTTCTGCAGACATAGACTGTAATCCAGTCTAAAAAAATCACACTCATTTTGACATAGGCTGCCACATACACCTCCCCCTCACACACACAGTTACATCGCCACAGGCAAACTGTCACCCCACAGGCATTATCCCTCACACACGCCAAGCTGCAGGGGCTGCTGGGCAGAGGGTGGCCGCTGAGTCCCCCTATACCACACCCCCATGCACTCAAACACAAGTGGCTCACCCTCTACGAGGACCACGGCTCCCAGGATGAGCAGCCCTTGTCCCCAGCTTGGCTTCATGCTGCTCCAGGCCATTCTGCTGTCTGTGCTGTGGTTCTGAGAGAGGCTCCCTGAGTCTCTCTGGCTCCACCTCTTCTCCGCCCCCAGTTAGCTAGGAGTCAGGTGTCATTGCTTTTCCTGGGCTGGAAAGAAGCCAGCAGCTCCTAGCTCTGGGGCTATGGCTGTGTGAACTTGGGCTATTCACCACCCCTCTTTGGGCCTCTGCCATGGCCAAACTACCTGTGCATGACTTTGGACAGCCTGTCGCTGCCTTGTCTGAAAGACTCAGAATTGTTGAATATAAAAATGCTTAGACCAGAGCCTGGCATAGAGTAAACTTGCTCCCAGCACAGAAGCTAGCTTCCAGTAACTGTGAAGGGCACAATGGGCAGGCCCTCCCAGTTTCCACTTTTCATTTCGGCTTCCCAAACTCTCTCCCAGGCCCAGGTCCAAGTGGGTCTCACATACCTTCTTCCATCTTGCTTCAGATGCAGTGTGTGTACACCTGGGTGTTAAGGTGCCAGGGCTTTCTGCTATTTGCTGGCTATGAGACTGACAAATCTCAACCTCTCTGAGCCTGCCACCTTTGTGGCAGACAGGGTTACAGTAGTGCTCACCTTTCTCACAGACTCAATCAGGAGGGAAGAACACTCAGGGTACATCTTTTTTCACTTACTGACTTTTAACTCAGGCCAGCCCAGATTGCTTAGGAACCCCAACACCAACAGAGATAGTTGTGACTAGGGTTAAGAGACAAATGGTCCTGGTGGATTAAAGTCCTGAGGGCTCCCTAACCCTTTTCCAGGCACTGGCTGTGTGATCTTAGGCAAATTACTTAGCCTCTCTGTACTTCAGTTTCCTCATCAAGATAGGGATAACAGTACCTACCTCATACAATGGCTATAAGAGTTAAATGAGTTAACACATGTCATGTTCTTAAACAGTGCTTGGCATACAAATAAGTGCTTGGTAAATATTAGGAAATGCAAATCAAAAACACTTACAACTTGTCCTTGGCCCTTCAGGGCTGCCAAGACTGGCTTGCGGTAGTAGATAAGGCAGCCAGAGAGGTTAAGGTTAGACTATAGGAAGAACTTCCCAGCAAGCATGCACAGAACCAGAAAGGCAGCTTGTCTTTGCAAATGCATGCTTGGCCCTCCCAGGAGAGGAGGCCTGGCTCTCATGGGCAGCAGGGATAAGATGCCAGCCTGCTACCTGGGAGTGGGGGCCAATGGTGCCCTAGGTCTTGCTGACTCCACCTGCTGGAGAAGGAACTAACCACCCTTTCCAGGAAGGCCCTCCATTCTCCCTCTGATTCATATCCTTCCAGTCTCAGAGGAGGCAAGAATGGGGGAAGCCTGACAGTAGGGTCACTGGTAGACAGGTGGCTCAGATTTGGCCAATTTATTAAAGAAATTTTATTGCTTAGAACCTTCCCTCCTTGGGCAACAGCAGAAGCTTTGAAAACCAGCTCCTGAGGACAGAACCAGAGGCACTAGGATGGAGAGTGTGGCACATTTGATCCATTGTTCTGTGTTGGGAGTATGGCTGAGGCGAGTTGCAGACTCTTCCAAGGACCCAGATGTGTTCCCCTTGGGCAAGGCTGACATGCCAAAGCAGAGCAGATGAAGTCAGCCTGGCTTTGGTGAGGGCTCAGTGCCCCTTGACCTTGTCCTGGGGTCCCTGGACATCCCGGACATTGAGCACCATCAGGCCCACGTTGATGGCATAGGTGGTGATGCAAACGATGCAGAAATCATAGAGCACGAAGAATAGGATCCAGGCTAGGTAGACAGAACCAGTGAGAGACACCAGGGAACTCAGTACCAGCAGAATAGATGCCCAGCGGCCCCGGAGGCAACCTGCAAGGCAGAAGAAGGTCAGGCATAGGCTTCAGGGACTGGCCACCTCTAAAACATTGCGATGACTTCATGGTGCCATCCAGACAGGAGGTGCTGCTGGGGAACAATCTAAAAAAAGAGGCTTTGGTAGGCCCTACCAAGGCCTTGTTTCTCCTATCTGTTCAATGATCCTTGGGACCCAAATAGTGAATTTTCCTGCTCAGCTCTACATGAGATGAAAGACAACAATCTTTGGATTCCCCCAGAAAGGAACTTCTGAGTCTTTCTCAAAAAAATAGTGCCCTAGGAAGTGGTTAAGAGTTTTTCTGGCTCTGACAGTACCTATACCAACTGAAAGACTCCTGTTAGTGCCTACTCCCATGTGCTCAGTGATGAGCAGCTGGCTGTCAGGATGGGGCTGGGCTTGCCAAGGGAGGAATGGCTGTCACCAGGGGACGGGGCCTGCAAGGAAGGGGCAGGGCCACTCACCAAACAACAGCTGTAGTGTGTAGAAGATGCAACCAAATATACTGTTGGATTGATTGAAGATACTGTTGGGGCCCAGCACCTGTTCCACCAGTCCGAAGCCCTGGCCCCACCTGGTGGAGGGGAAGGCCCAAATTAGGAGTGTCAACCTTGTGCCTTGGGCCCTGTCCTGGAGGGGTGATTTCCATGAAGCCACCTAGGCTGTCCTTCCTGGTTTTCCCATCCCCCCGCCGTTAGAGTCCAAGGGTCGATGACATCCCAGTGCAGCCTCCCTTTGGCCAGGTCAGGATTCCATGTGTCTGCTCCTATCTTCCCCTATCCCCAGGCCTGGCCGTAGCTCCCGCATAGGCCCCTTTTTCCATCCAATGCCTTCAATAATCTTAAGATGGCAAGGTGGGTAATAACGGTTGAACCTTGCTTTGCAGAGTTACCGGAGACTGGGAATTCGGGGCAGAATCTCTGCCGTGGATTTCTAAATCTCCAGCTCCCAGGCAGCCCATTCCCCTTCTCCGTATTCGGTCATCCCACTAATCCCCGGCCCTCAAGCATAGCCATACTTGGCTATCTTGTCCCAAGGCACGGTCATCCTCAAGCCCATCATCGGTCCCTGCACGTTACCCCACCTTCCCTTCCTGCCCGACACCGTTATTCCTTGGCAGTACTCCCTCAAGCAGTCTGGTCCCCATGGACCCGCTCCCTGGTATTGCGATCCCAGACTCCAGAACCATTTGGCAACGCGGCCGCCATGCACACTTGGTCCCAGTGCACCGCTTCCAGGAGCAGCCCGATGCCCCAAGCCTTCCTCCACTCCCGCGCTTACCTAGAGGAGAAGACACGCGAACAGCTGATAGCGGTACCCACGTCGCAGAGCGCGCGGTAATTCTGGTCCCGGGCACGCGCCTCCTTCACGTGCATCGCGTAGAGAGAGAGGACTAAACCCGCGAGGCAGAGTGCAAGCCGCACCCACCCGGGACTACCCCAGGTAGCGCCCATGTCTCCTGGTTGGGTCCCAGGCGCCAGCCCGAAGGGAACAAGCCACGGAGCAGGGAAGGCGGGGGGAATGGCCACAGCCTCTCCCGCCCCTCTGACTGAGCGATGGGCGGGCCTGGTCTCGCACTCCCTGGTCTTATTGGTTTTTCCTGACTGGATAGGCGTGCTGGAGAGGTAGGAAAACAGCGAGGAATGCTGGGACTGGAAAACCAGATTAAGGGACACGTAATTACGGAATAAGCAACCTGCCAGGCATTGTGGGAGTTGTAGTCCGGTCGGCTGCAATGCCTCAAGGGAAATGGAGTCTCCGGAGTTTTAAAAATTATGGTACCTATATTAACTATGACTAACAGTAATAGCGTTTACTCTATGCCAAACCCTATTCTAAGGAGTGGAACATCCAAGACCTAGAGACCTGAGGATCAGGGAATCTAGCGAGTACTGCGATCCTATCCAGAAGCAAGCATTTTCCTTGAAATTATTTCAGACACCATTAGGACTATAACCACCCTAAATTGCTCAGCCATTCCCTCTTGCTTCGCCAGCGCCTCCTGCCGGCTGGTCTCTCTCCCTTAAATTCCCAGCTCTACAATCTCCGCCTTACCCTTGACCGTATCCTAACCTCTGTTCTTTTCTAGCGCCCACCTGGCGAAACATGAGCCTGAATCAATCTAACAGTCCCTCCTTTTGAAGCTTTCAGTGGGCTAGCTGAACTCTCCCCTTCACAGACATGGCACCTATTGATGACCCATCTCTTTTATATCCTTCTTTCTCATCTGCTTTGAAACTTGCTTCTCTTTTCCATTTTGGGCTTCAGCTCTCTCACCTGCAAAATGAGTACAATAATAGTACCTACATCAGAAGGTTGTTATGAAGATGAAATTAGTACATATAAAGCTCTTAGAAGAGTGCCTGACCAACAGAAATGACGGTGTGTGACCTTCGAGGCTAATTTATAGAGATGTCGCAGCCTCCAGCTCGCCTCCTCTTAAATCACTTATTCTGAGGGAAGCCAATCATAGATAACAACAATTTCAATAGCTCAGAGAATAAAGCCCAGTATTTCGTTTTTTAAGCTCTAAATGAGTATTCTGGAAGAGGGCTCCTGGGGTGCATGTTCAACCTCCGCCGCCAGGAGGAAGCAATGTGTTCGGGCGGGCTAGTCAGGCGCGCGGGGTCAAACCGGCTCAGGCAGTTCTTAGACGCTTCCTGCCTCTGAGGCAGCCACAGCCGCCCACTTCTATACCCGGGTATGCGTCGCTGCCACGTGAGTGCGGAGCACTCCGAGTCCTTGCTTCTCTGCTCAGGCGGTCCTCCCGCACTGAGCACCCTTCCTTTTCCCTTCTTCCACCGGCTCAGGCCTGCTTCAGGAGCTTAGTGGTCTCCCAGTATAACTCCAGGATATTGCCAGGATTCTGGTTCTGGAAAAGAAAGGGTGGGAATGGTATGAGGATGGGGGGCGAATTGGAAATCCAGAGACTCAGGGAGCCTCTTCCTCATGGTCTATGCAGATCTTCCCTCTGTTCCTCAGACAGGCCAGCCATGGTGAAGAATCTCACCTCTGCTGAAATTTCAAGACAGCCTTTGGGCTCCAAAGATGTCGCCTGCTTCACTTAACTTTTTTAATTAAAAAATTTAAAAATACTTAGAAAATACATAACCATGGAAAGGAAAAAATCCCATTAGTACAAGTGTACACACGTGCACACAAGTCTCCCATCATATGCTGCTTAGAAAAAGTAATTGTCTTTTCACTGGTCTCTCTGCCTTCCGTCTCTCCAGTCCCCACCCTCCCAATCACTACAGCCAGAGGGTTCTAAGGAGCAAACCTGACAAATTAAAACTTTTCAATGGCTTTTTACATCCTCAGGACAAATGCAGACTTTTCCATTCGTGATCTGGCTCTGGTCACCACATTTAGTCCCCCTCCTTTATAGTTGCCACATGGTTGCAGGCATATCCTCAGATTATCCAGGCTATTCTCTATCCTGCCATAATGCCCTTTCCACTCCAGCTCTGGTGCCTGGCCAAGTTCTACTCATGCTGCACCTGTACCAATGTCCCAGTCCCTATTTGATACTCCCACAGCATCACATAGGCTCTCATCACAGCTGATGACATTGAAACTGTCTTCCGGATGGGGAAGAGTCTATTTATTTGATTCAACACCCAGTATCCTCTCCTGGCACAGAAAAGTCTCCCAATCAGTGTTTGTAGGCATGAATAGATGAATGATAATAATACCTAACACTTATATGGTGCTAGTTCTATGCCTGGCACTGTTCTATAGGCACTTTATATATATAAATTCATGTAACCACACAACCCCCAGAGTTGCTACATCCTCATTTTACCGATATGTAAATTAAAGCATTGATCAGTTTAAGTAACTTGCCCCAGATAGTAAGTGGCTGAGCTGGGTTTTCAACTAGACAATCTGGTTTCCGATAAATAAATCAAGAGCTGGAAGGAGAAGGCCAGGACGTTAGGGAAGGAATTCAGGTAGGATTTGGGTCTGTGCACTTTACATCTAAGGTTCTTCTTGCTCTCTCCAGTTTCGCTCCTAGGGAGCCCATTTTTATAGACTAGGAGACAGAGGGCCAGGGAGCCCACAGATAACTCTGGGAGCCCGGTGGAAGGAGCTGTGGTATTTATTTGGGAGTACAGGAGCAGGGCACAGCCAGGATGGGTTGGCAACTGGGTTGCGAGTTCTTTCCAAACTACAACTCCCAGGAGGCACCGGATACCCACAGCCCACGCGACGTCACAGCGGCAGAGGGTGAGGGCAGCTCGGCTAGCCCCGCCCGTCGACTGTTGGGCCTTTACGCTCGGACCCCGGCCCTGGCTCGGGTTCCGCGGTAAGTGGAGCAACCGTCGCAGACCTTGCCGGAGCGGGTTTTGCAGTGTGCGCCCACAGCCTCCGCCATTGTGCTGGACGCGGGGCTGGCATCTACCATATGGAGCGGGGGGGAATCCAGGCCGAAACAAGTGACCTGCGGAGGGGGAACCTAGATGGGGACTCCCGGGCTGCAGCTTCCATGCAGCCGGCACTCCGGCGCACAATGGGCGCACAATGCCGTGTGTCGCACGTAAGCTGGCTGGGCTAGGGTAGAGGGCCGGGGGGAGGGGCGGGGGTCAGAGTCTGAAGGCGCAGAGTAGGGGTCGCCCCGCCCCTGAATAGGGGTGCTCTGGACCAGAGGAAGCAGGAGCGAGGTTTTCCGGCTGGACGGGTTTGAGGATCCTCTTCGCTCCAGACCACCAGATAGAGCCTCAGGTTGCAGAATAGGAGCTCCAGAAAGCAACGTTTTACGGGTTCGGCTTGTATGTGTTTGGGGAGGTGGTTGAAGGGGTGGGCAGAGATCGCCCAGTCTGAGGATCCCAGTGCCTACGTGGAGAGATGGTGCGGGTCGTCTGGATTCGGATCCTTACAATTCCCCCTTACCCGACCCCGGTAGATGGGAGCTGCTCCTCGGGGGCTGAGCTTGTCAGCATCCTCCTACGGCCCTCGCCTCTGAAGTCAGAGAAGAGCCCCTACACCCACATCCCTCTTGTCCCGTTTTGGGGTCGCCTCCGTCTACCCGGTGCTTAGCCCTAGTGGCCTCCTTAGTCCGACAGAGGAGCAGGACGATGATACTGGCATCTGTGCTGGGGAGTGGCCCCCGGGGCGGGCCTCTGCTCCGTCCCTACCTGGGGCCTGCACTCTTGCTCCGGGCACGCTCCACATCAGCCACCGACACACATCATGTGGAGATGGCGCGGGAGCGCTCCAAGACCGTCACCTCCTTTTATAACCAGTCAGCCATCGACGTGGCAGCTGAGAAGGTGCGCAGCTGGGGCAGCGAAGCCCGGGTTCCTCGCTGGAGTGGGTGTCCAGGGACGGGGTAGAGCTAATGTGACGGGGCGAAGTGTTGGAGAGCAAGTGCTCAAGCCCCATCTGTCCCTCCAGCCCTCAGTCCGCCTCACTCCAACCATGATGCTCTATTCTGGCCGATCTCAAGACGGCAGCCACCTTCTGGTAAGACTCCTGCCCCCTATTTTCCTCTTGGTCCCTGGAGCTCTGACCCAGCCACTGAGGCCCAAGCCCTGCCTTCTCTTTTTTCTTCTAGAAAAGTGCCCGGTACTTGCAGCAAGAGTTGCCAGTGAGGATTGCTCACCGCATCAAGGACTTCCGCAGCCTTCCTTTCATCATTGGCTGCAACCCCACCATACTGCACGTGGTAAGGTGGCCTGGAAGGGGCATGGGTTTCCCTAGTATAAGGGACCTTAGATCACTGTGCCCACCACCCAAAGGGCAAATGGGGAGATGGGACCAGAGTGGCAGAGATTTGCCAGCCAAAAGGTTTCAGGATCTAGAGGACTCAGACCCAAACCTTCAGAGGCCAAGGCTGCATATTTATGGGGGCTTGAAAGGTCATGGTGGGGATTCGAACCTAGTGAATTGGGGTGATGGCAATTCCCATGGGCAGGCGTGGGTAGTTGTTCTCTACCCAGTGCCCACAGCATCCCTGTGAATTTCAACACCTCTTCCTTGCAGCATGAGCTGTACATCTGTGCCTTCCAGAAGCTGACAGACTTCCCTTCGGTGAGGGCTGGGCCAGGGCAGGGTGAGGGGCTGAGAGGTCAGGGCCTGGACCAACCATGCTCATGACTCTGTGGCCTGCAGATCAAAGACCAGGCGGATGATGCCCAATACTGTCAGCTGGTGCGTCAGCTGCTGGACGACCACAAAGATGTGGTGACCCTCTTAGCTGAGGGCCTACGTGAGAGCCGGAAGCACATACAGGTCATGGACAGTGCAGTGGGGGCCTTTTGGGGGGGTCTGGAAAAGGCACAGGGTTATTGAGACCCCACTGTTTACAGGATGAGAAGCTTGTCCGCTACTTCTTGGACAAGACACTAACTTCAAGGCTTGGGATCCGCATGTTGGCCACACATCATCTGGCACTGCATGAGGACAAGGTGGGGTGCTGGGACCTGATACTCACCTGTGAATGTCAAGTGAGGCAGAGAGGACCAAGCCAGGGGCCTCCGTGGGCTGGGGACCTGAGCCAAGGGCCTGGGGCCACTTCATGAGTCTGGAGGCTGTAAGCATTTAGTTGCTGAGGTGTGGGTAGAGGTGCTGCCTAGTCTGACCTTTTTTCTCCTGCCAGTCTGACTTTGTTGGCATCATCTGCGCTCGTCTCTCACCAAAGAAGATTATTGAAAAGTGGGTGGACTTTGCCAGGTGAGGCTAACACAGCTAAGGGGTTGGAAGGATGTCTTTGGGCAGGAAATGCTTGGGTTTGAGCATTTGCCTGGGGCATGGGCTAAGGCAAGGTTTTTCAACTGTGGTACTATTAACATTCTGGGTCAGATAATTCTGTTTTGTCGGGGCTGTCCTGTACTTGTTAGAATGTTTAGAAGGATCCCTGGCCTTTACTCACTTGATGCCAGTAGTACTCCCCAGTTGTGACAAGCAAAAATATCTTTAGAAATTGCAAAACTTCCCTAGGGGTGGAGCATGGGGGCAGAAGCGCCTCCAGCTAAGAACCACTGGTCTAAACCTTACTTTTACCCACAGACGCCTGTGTGAGCACAAGTATGGCAATGCCCCCCGTGTCCGCATCAATGGACATGTAGCTGCTCGATTCCCCTTCATTCCAATGCCACTGGACTACATCCTGCCCGAGTTGCTCAAGAATGCCATGAGGTAGGCTGGCTGGATATGTTGAAAGGGGATAGACAGGAACTGGGGTGAGGCTGGGTTACCACTACTACTATTGGTCTTTCCCCGCTGCATAGAGCCACGATGGAGAGTCACCTAGACACTCCCTACAATGTACCAGATGTGGTTATCACCATCGCCAACAATGATATCGATCTTGTCATCAGGTTTGTCTTGAGTGGGAGATGGGTAGGGGTGGACAGGGGTTCCGGACACTATTTTTGACTTTCTGTATGACCGCAAGCCAGTACCCACTCCACTCTGACTTAATCCTTTGGTCAGACAAGATATTCTTTGGTCCTGAGATTGCCATGAGCTGGATGAGAATGAATCTGGGGCCAGCTATAGGCCCCAGGGCTCTGTACTTGGTAGGAACTGAGGGGCTTGCAATGGGGAGAGAGTCAAGAGTAACCAGTCTACGATGCTGGGCTGAGAGTAAATGTTAAGTTCTATGAGAAGGTATAGTCAGTCGCCCAGGCAGAAGTGAAGATAGAGAAATGTAGCTTATAAAAAACAAGGCCCAAAGGTCTAGGTGGACCACATTCCTTTGGGTAGAAAAATGTAGCTTATAAAAAACAAGGCCCAAAGTTCTAGGTGGACCACATTCCACCTTTGGGTAGAGGGTGGCACTGTCTGTCTGGGAGGTAGTGAGCCTCCCACCAAAGCTGAGCCAAGCCTATATTATTGACATCCTGCCAGGATTTCAGACCGGGGTGGGGGAATTGCTCACAAAGACCTGGATCGTGTTATGGACTACCACTTCACTACAGCTGAGTCCAGCACCCAGGACCCCCGGATCAACCCACTCTTTGGCCACTTGGACATGCACAATGGTGGCCAGTCAGGACCCATGCATGGGTGAGTTCCCACCAAGCTAGGATGGAGGGGTAGGGGGGGCCCCCGGAGACTCACACCTCTGAAGCCCCTGTCCTATCCCCTACCTACCCCCAGCTTTGGCTTCGGGCTGCCCACCTCACGGGCCTATGCGGAGTACCTTGGTGGTTCCCTTCAGCTGCAGTCCCTGCAGGGCATTGGCACAGATGTCTACCTGCGACTCCGTCACATCGATGGCCGGGAAGAAAGCTTCCGCATCTGATCCCACAGTCCTTGACCCTGCCCATCCCAGGCCACACACCCTGCTCCACACACTGCTGCATCTTGGGTCCTAGGACCCCAAATGGATGGACTTACATGGAGCCAGCGCCACCTCTCAACGGGGTCCACTGCTTACCTGCCTCCAGGCCTTGGTGGGGAAGTGGGGACACTTGAGGTCTCCAGCACCAGCTCCTTCCTCGTTCCTGAGGAACCCCATTTTGACCTGCTGTTTGTTAATTAAAGTTCACATTTTGAATTCTCTCTCGGGCCCCATGTGTGGGGAGGGCAGGTGAGTTTTTGTTTCTGACCCCATTCAGGTTCCCTGGGCCCTTGGGTTCAGTTAGTTCATGCCCAGTCTCTTAACTGTCCTAACAGTCTGGCAGACCAGTAGAAGTGGCCTCTAGTCTCTTGCATGTTTGATTTGGCGGGAGTGGAAGTGACTCTGGCAGTTTGTGCAAAGATCTTACATTCATTTAACAGATGTTTTCTAGCCAATATTTAAGGGCCAGGTTGGCCCAGCTTCAGTTCTGACTCTTCCCTTCCTGGCAGTCAGTTTCTGGAGGTGAAAGTCACCAGACTGGGCAGCTACCTGAGCCACTTGATTCCTGAGCCTGAGTAAGGTTAAAAATACTGCCCACCACCTGTGCCTGCTGCTGCCAAGGAAAAGAACACACAATATTGTGCCTTGGCAGGCCTCAAAGTATGGTGGGGCCCTGGTAGGGAGGGTGAAAGGGCTCCACAGAGCAGGCGGGGCCTCCTGCCCATCTTGCTAAGGAAGTAGTCGTTCTGAGAGCCTGTGTGGTGGACTGCTGATGGAGGTGGGGGATTGAGTGGGGAAGAGAAAACCAGTGACTTGCCAGGCTGAAAATCCTGCTGGCTATAGTGCAGGAGGGTGAGGCTAGAGAGGTAGACCACAGTAGTCAAGGTGCAGGGCCTTAAATGTACAACCAGGAAGCAGAGGCTTTATCCTAGAGGCAGCAGGTATCCACAGATGGGTTTTAAGCTAGGAAGGGATGTTTCGGGTTGGATTCCCTAGAAGCGGACCCTGAGAGGGATTTGTGTCCAAGTGATTTGTTGAGAAAGTGTTCCTGGAATGGAGTAGGGGAAGCAGGAAAGGGAAGGGTAGGAAGCCAGGCAAGGATGTGATCTCAGGCAAAAGTCCAGCGCTAGTAAGTTTTGAAAACAGAACTGGAGGCAAGAGAGCTAAGCTTCACAATCACTGGTGAACTCCATTTGACAGTCATTAATGTCTGTGATGGGAGGTAGAGGTGCAGAGGTACTTGATCGCCCCAGGCCGAAAACTTCAGTTTTCAGCTATTTCAGGCAAAATAGCTCTCTTAGCCAGAGGGGCAGCTTGCCAAAGAAAAGCCTCTGGTGCTGGCTTTTGAAAGCACATCAAAGATAGTCTGGGCACACAGAAGCAACAAAAAGATTCCAGGGGATATGACTGAAACACCTGACTGGTTCTTGGAGAAACAGACTTGCACATTTAAAAAGCCACTGGTGGCCAGTAGATAGGGAGAACAGTGAGGAGGTTGGTTTAGTGATACTCATCAAGGATTTATAAAGCCTAGGCTAATCCTTAACTAGAAAGGACAGCGTCCCTAATCGAAGATGTTGGGTGAAGTCAAAAGTGAGGCACTGGAACCCTGGCTGGATAGAATAACAATCTTGAAGGTGGGGGCTGGAGGAGTGAAGAGTAGGAAAAGGCATTACAATTCTTTTCTTGCTTTTTTATTTTTTATGCTGCCAGACACCTGGTATTCACTGTCCCTCCCCGCAAACTCCTTCATTTCCCAAAAGCCAAATTACCAGTACTTCCCACTACCATCCCCCCACAAATACCTAACTCAGATATTTCTTGATTTGTGAGTTTTAAGCCCTGTTCTCAGGCGCTGAGCATTTCACCACTCTTAGAATAGTTTCTAAGTCCTATAACCAAATTATAAAACAAGATTCAGAGTGGCTGAAGGAAATGTTTACAGAGCACCTACCTTGTCTGGCACTGTGCAATCACTTGTTTTGTATACACAAGAAGTAGATAAATACATGGTTTAACCTTTATGTAGTTGTATGGCTTACACAGTTATATATAGTTTAACCCTGACCGACGCTCTGAGAATGGACACGTTTGTACAACTTACCAAGGATTCCTCACTAAGCCCCAGACGCTCTCCATTATGTCCACTGCCTTTGGCTAGTTTCTATTCAGGGGACGTCTGGTTTTGGTGGCTCAGTCCTTTGATTAGAAAGGCTTCATTCTGTGAGAGAGATTTATTGTCTATCTCTGGACACACCCGTCCGGTTTCCCCCACCCCAATTGTATCTCTCCCTGAACAAGGCCGTTTCTTCCATCTTCAAAAAAGGCGTCACCGGTAACAGGCTGGCGGAAGTGGCAGCGCAGGGGTGGGTGTTAATTGCAGGCCGGTAGCCCTAAAATCCTGTAGACAGGGGGGCTGCTCTGGCTCCGCCAGGTTAAACCGAGGATAGCGCCCCCTGAGAACAGGCGCTTCTTGGCTTCCTCGGGCACCGGGGCCGGGCCCTTTAAGGGATCGAGCTGAGTCGTCACAGCCGCAAAGTCCTCTTCAGCGATAGGGCGCAGCCATATTTCCCCTTGGAAAGAAGGGAACTCTAAGGCGACAGAAACAACAGACGGCGCCGCGAGACAGGACTAGCCAATGGGCTCCTGCCACATCACAGACCCCCTCTAGGCGGTTGAGGCCTCCGCCACGCGGCGCTGACCCGGAGCCAAAAGCGCTGCGCGGCGCGGGCTTCTGGCGTCACTTCCACCACTGCGATGGCGGCCCAGGGAGCAGCTGCGGCGGTTGCGGCGGCAGCTCCAGGGGTCGCGGGGGAGGGCGAGCCCGGTGCCGGCGAGAATGCAGCGGTCGACGGGGTCGCCGGGTCTCCGGGCCGCGTCTCTCCGCCGACCCCTGCGCGTGGCGAGCCAGAAGTCACGGTGGAGATAGGAGAGACGTACCTGTGCCGGCGTCCGGATAGCACCTGGCGTGAGGGCGGAGCCCAGGGCCAGAGGGCGGGGCTTACGCCACGGGGCGGGGTCGGAGGAGGGTTCTGTGAGGGGCTGGGAATCGTGGGGACCGTGCTTGAGGAGAAGTGAATGCGGAGTTTCGGGCGATCTCGGGCCCCGCCTGCAAACCCCACCAGTCAGTTATCTGATTCTGCATGTAGAGCTCCCATCCCGCTTCCTTGCCCAACCTTAGGCTTCATTCCCTTTTCTCTGTGAACTCTGCTTTCTCACTGGTCTCTCCTGTCTCTGCGACTTCCCCTTACACCTGTCCCCAACAGCCACCAGCGGAGGAGACCTCCCAGAACACAAAAACGACCTTCCTCTCCCGTCCTCATCTCTCCCCATCTCTCCTCTTCCCTCCCCTCCCCTCCCCTCATCTTCAAAATAAACCCGAGTTCATCAATGGTATTCATCTTTGTGATCTCTGGTTTTTAGCCACTTCTAGCAACAGTCATTGCCAGACCAGACCACGCTATACTCTTTGAAGACCATGTATACCTTTTGCTACCTGTGCCCTCTGTATGGAACGGCTTTTCTCCCCTTTCTTTCTCCTTGCCCACCTGGCTAGCTCCTGTTCCTCCTTTTAACACGATATACCCCTGTGATGCCATTTCTGACTGCCTTCAGGCAAAGTGAGTCATACTCTTCTGCATGTTCCTGCAACATTTTCTTCATACCTCAGCCACAGTAAATGTAACATTGTCGTCATTGTCTGTATCATCCTCTATCAAAGTGGGAACTTCTGGAGGGCAGGACTGCTTGTGATTTGTTGCTGTGTCCTCTGTTCCCAGCAACAGCACAGCATAGGGCCAGACAAGCAGTGATTGCCTTTCTCATTTACTGAATGGTCTGCTAGTTGTCAGGCACAATACTAAAAGCTTTAGAGGCATTAACTCACCCTCTGAGGTGGGCACTATTATCTCTGTTTTACAGATGAAGAAACCAAGGCTCAGAAAGCCAAAATAACATGCTCAGTTAAATATAGCTAGGAAGTAAGGAGTTAGAATTATATATAAACCCAGGCTGTCTGACACCAGAGCTAACCCTCGTGACCTCTGAACAAATAAGCAAATACAGTAAAACAAGCATTGAATTTGGAGCCAGACATAAACTCAGTTAAGTATTAGCTTTTATCACATTTCAAATCTGTAAACCTTGGTAAGCCTCATTTCTCTCATCTGTAACAGCCCATCCTCATAGGCACACCTCATAGGCAGTGATTGAATGGAATGGCAGATGTGGACAAGTGAGGTTAGCTTACATGTGGCCCTGGAATCTGGAAACCACTCCTCAGTATGAAGGATCCCTCTTGCCCTGCCTTCCTTCCTGATGATCCTAGCCTTTTTCCTTGACAGATTCTGCTGAAGTGATCCAGTCTCGAGTGAATGATCAGGAAGGCCGAGAGGAATTCTATGTACACTACGTGGGCTGTGAGTGACTTGGGGTATCTGGGCCTGGGTGGTGGGAGAGGGGTGGAAAGGCAAAGCTCTCATGGCCCATTCTCACAGTTAACCGGCGACTGGATGAATGGGTAGACAAGAACCGGCTGGCACTGACCAAGACAGTGAAGGATGCTGTGCAGAAGAACTCAGAGAAGTACCTGAGTGAGCTGGCTGAGCAACCTGAGCGCAAGATCACTCGCAACCAAAAGCGCAAGCATGATGAGATCAACCATGTACAGAAGGTCCGGGCTTCCTCCCCTTCCCCATGGCCCCAGGAGGCTCAGCTACCTCTGCCTACTCCCTTGGGTCCCAGTGCCAAAACCATAGCAGCTCCCATTTCTTAAGCTCCTACAGTATGTCAGAGACTTTACCTACCTCTTCTCATGTACTCTTCCCAACTGAGAAAACAGAGACTCAGAAAGGGCAAGGGCTTGGCTACAGTCTCACAACAATGAAATGGCACAGCTGAGCTTGGAACTCAGGCCTCTTGTACCAATAATCTGTTTTATCTCCTGTTGGTTATGCCACATTAGATAATTGTCTTGAAGTCCATGGGGAAGAAAGAGAATGAATGGTATTAGGCACTTGCTATTGCCAAGAACCAAGCTGAGTACTTGTACATGTATAAGCTTATCAAATCCTCTCTAACAGTCCAACACCACAGGGATAATTATTTATTTAATTTTTTGCAGCCTAAAAGTAGGCTTAGAGAGGTTAGGTAACTTGCCCAAAGTGACACAGCTAGTAAAAGGGTGGGCCGAAATTAGAATAAAAATGGCAAACATTTATTGGCTTGTGACCCAAAGTTTTAGCCTAAGTATTTTAGTACATGATCTCATTGATGTTTCACAGCAACCCTGTGAGGTAAGCATTATTCCCAGTTTACAAGGTAGGTACAAGTTTAGGAACTCAATCAGGAATTAGATTTGCCAACTAGATTGTTCTACTTCAGGGCACAAACCTTTAACCATGACTTTGACACATCCTAGAAACTCAGGCCACTTGTTTCCAAAACCCAGGTTCTTTTCACCAAGGCCTCCTGCCCCTCAGAGATTACTTTCCTCCCACTCTGAGCTTCAGTTTCTTGATTCGTAAAGTGGAAAGTGTAAACAGGAACTAGGCACACAGATATTCATTAATTTCAACCAGTGCTATTTCATCCTTCTGAATGCTCTTGTACTTTGTGGCAATGTTTGTCAAACAGCTGTTAATAGATTAACAGTTCAGTAGGTTGTGACTAGTATTTAAATTTTAAAAATGGAAGAAATAGGATTAAATAGAAAATATCAGAGTGTGTTGTATTTTATTAAAGGTAAGTATTATTTTGAGAAGTTTTTATTTCACATACAAATACATGTGCGTATGTACACAAACGTCAACTAATTTACAGTGCTAATTGCACTTCCTACTATGGATTGTGATAAAAAAAATTGAAATACCCTGAACTACAAAGACCCCTCAAAGTCCAGTTGAACTTCCTATGATAAATGGAAATCTTCTACATCTGTACTGTCCAATAGCCACTAGCCACATGTGGCTCTTGAGAACCTGAAATGTGTTTAGTGTGATTAAGAATTAAATTTTATTTAAACTTAATGAGTTTAAGTGGCCTCATGTGAGTGTGGGCTGTTCTACTGGACAGCACAGGTCTCAGGTTCTCAGTTCCTCAACCAATTTGCACTGCTCAGTTAAGTCTAAACGATATACCTCTACGCTGGCAATCAGCCAGGCAGATGACAGTGGGTCAATGGTGATAAAATCAAAGTGGATAAACATTGAGTTAACAGTCAGCAAGGTTCTTCAGAACCTAATTAATGTCTAATTCTAAATAAATTGCAGCATTTAAGAAAAGTAGTGTTTTTGTAGTTCTTTAATGCATTTGCAGAAGATTGTGTTTTGTGAGAACTGAGAAATGTGTTTTAAGGAGGTATGTGAGGAAGAAAATCTTCCCTCATCTTTGCAGGGGTTAGGCTCAGCGCTGGACAGACCAGAGTTCTATGCCCAAATATGCTGAGTGCCAGTTCTGTGACCTTGGGCAAGTGACCTCATCTCTTTGTGCCTCAGTTTCCTCTTTTGTGCAGTGTGAATAATGAGCACTCTTGTCTCAGGCTCCTTGTGAGGGCTAAGTGAAATAATGCCTGTGGAGTGCTTGACATTTGGAATAAATGGCAGCTAGCTTGTCCCTAAGGGCAAGTGACTTCTCTCCCTGCCTGTTTACTTTTCTGTAATGTAGAAATGAGAGTGCTGTATATCAGGGTTGCTGAAAGGGTTAAATGAGGCCATATGGGCAAAGTGCTTTGTGGAAGGGGGTTCTGGGTAAAACGTTGGCTCTTTTTTCTCTTCTCAACTGCAGGGCAAGGCTGTCTTCTACTCTGGTTTAGGCTGTAGGCCTTCTTGGGTCCCCACTCCACTGTCAGGCTAGATTTGGTTCCTCCTACAGAGTATGGCCAAGGAACAGGATGTGCTGTGACTGTGACATAACTCTAGCCCTTGCTTTCTAAGGACTCGGAAAATAGAGGAAACCAAGTGGGGGCACTTAGAGATTATTGTTGTTGACCATTATATTCCTGACTTGGGAAGGAGAGGGTATATTCCACATGAGAAGAATTCAGTTATGCCTCACGGAGGTGGAGGGAAGGGTACTGACCCTTGAGGGACAGGAAAAAGCACAGTAAAAGCAGTTAAACATGTTAACTTACAAAGTTCTAGCTCATTACACACACCTGGCTCATGTTCTGTACTAGTTCGGGTAAGCATCTGGTGGCAGTAGGATAGGGAAGGGCATTCACGGTAGAAGGAACTGCATGTGCAAAGGCACAAAGGCTGGAAAAAGCGGGACTTTGGTAGCAGTATAGATTTGAAGGGGATGAGGCTGGAGGCTGGGAATCTAAGGAAGCCTAGTCAATTGTCCGGACTTGAGATGGTGGCAGTGGCTATTTGGAGTGGGACAGAGAGGAGAATTCTAGAGAGGGACTAATTCCAGAGAGTTCAAGGAGGTACAGTTGACAGGTCTTGGCCATTGATTGAGTACCAGGCTGAGAGAGGGAGGAGTCTTAAGAGCAGGCCCATTATTGGTCTCGGGTAGTTGGATGGAGGGTGATGCTCCCAGTGAGATGAAGAACCCAGGAGGAGGAACAGGTCTGCGGGGAGGAAAGGTTGAGTTCCCTTCTGGATGGACCCCTTGAGTCTGATGTGCCTGTGAGAAGGACCTCTGGGAGCAGTCCCTTGGGCAGGCAGCTCCTTGGGTGCTTAGGAAAGAGGTTCAGGCACACTGGGAAGTTGGCAACAGTTTCTGCCATGGGCATGGAGGACAAGATCCATTATTTCCTTTGTCTCACATTAAATTTTGGCTGTCCTGGATTGATCCCGTTGTGAAGTTGAAGCTCTTATCAACCCAAGAACTGGAACCAGGCCTCCTGAACCTAACTCTCTGTTGATCAGACAAAAGATCCAAACTTGGGCATCAAAGATGTCTGGGATTTATGGGTGGGTGGGCAGATGGGAGAGGAGCTTGGACCAGCCAGCTTCATAACCAGGTAAAACAAGCTAGCTATTCACATGATTATTATTATCACTTAGGGGATGAGGTCTGGAAGACAGGAGGGAACTGTGGGTTCTGGGACAGGGAAAGGACAGCCTGACCACCACTTCTGTTCACCTCTGTCCACTGCTCTTTCCTTGCCCAGACCTATGCAGAGATGGACCCCACAACAGCGGCTTTGGAGAAAGAACATGAGGCGGTAAGAAGAGACGGGTCCTGACTGTCGGCCCTCCCTACCTCGCTTTTTTTTGCCCCAACTGAGCCATCCACTGCCCTCCACAGATCACCAAGGTGAAGTATGTGGACAAGATCCACATTGGGAACTATGAAATTGATGCCTGGTACTTCTCACCATTCCCGGAAGACTATGGGAAACAGCCCAAGCTCTGGCTCTGCGAGTACTGCCTCAAGTACATGAAATACGAGAAGAGCTACCGCTTCCACCTGGTGAGGCTGCAGGGCTGGACTGGCCTGCTGAGGGTACTGAGGCAGCAGCACTGGGAAACAGATGAGTCCAGAGGAGTGGAGTACAAGGAAAAACTGCCTATGAGTCGAGAAACCTGGATTCCAGCCTGGCTCTGCCTTTGCTGGAGTGACCTTGGCCAGCATGCTACCCCTCCCCAGACCTCATTTTCCTCTTATGTGGAATGGGGACAGTAATTCCTGCCCTTACCTCCTCCTCGGGTCCCTTGTCCTTCACCACATGTTTATCAAAGCCAGGTTCCTCAGTGCAAAAGTAGTAGCAAGCACAGCCCCCTGAGCAATGAGACTGGAAAGCGTGGACAGATGGGAAGCATTGGTACATGAGAGCTGCCAGGGCAGGGGGCTCTTAGCACTCATGCATTGGGGTGTTCTTCAAAGGGTAGAATCTATGTCTAATGTATGCAGTTCAGGAAATACTAATAGGGATCAGAACCCCCCGCCTCTCCCGAGTCCTCTAGAGCCAGGCCAACCTGGACTTGTAGCCATCTAGCTGTGTGATATTTGAGCCAGTTACCTAACCCCTCCGTGCCTTGGTTTCTTCATCTGTAGAATAGACTCTGGCTCCTCAGGTTGTTGGATTACTCAATGTAGGTAAAGCATTGAACCCAGGGTCTATAGATGGGGAAACTGAGAGAAGCAGAGACTTGCTGTAAGCCACACAAGGCAGAATGGGGAGCACCTAGCATAGAACCTCAGGGTCTCAAGCCTCTTTCTCCCCATCCCTACTCCCAGGGCCAGTGTCAGTGGCGGCAGCCCCCAGGAAAGGAGATCTATCGCAAGAGCAACATCTCTGTGTACGAGGTGGATGGCAAAGACCACAAGGTAAGCTAGTAGGGGTGAGTACTGGCACCTCCTGGGCAATCTTCACCATCATCCAAAGATAGAGGCCAGCCTTAGAATGAGCTCCACCGGGTAAAGGCCTGTGGGATCATCCTTAGCCGGACACTTGGCCTTTGGCTGGTGCATAGTGTAAACACATGCCCCTGTGATGCCAGCCTCCGGGACCAGGTTTCCATTCTTTCCCTGAGGACTTTTCTCCTGATGGGATAGTTTAGGTTTGGGCAGTCTGGAATTCAAGTGGAATTCAAGATTGCCATGCCTGAGGCTGCTTCTATAACCACTTTCTCTTTCTGCCTGAAGAAAAGCTATTTTTTTCCTGGGGGCGGGGGGGGGGAGTGCTGTTTTGTGTAAGATTTCCTTCCTGAGAGCTCTAAGTCCGATGGTTGAGTTCTTTGTTCTTGGCAGAGACTCCAGTGGGGCAGGGGGCGCCTTTAGGACCTACTTTACTGTCATCGAGAACCTGGCCTTTGCTTAGTCAGTCTGAGGTTCTCCTCAGATGTCCCCATTTTCCATGGAAGGGCAATGGAGTGTAAGGCTTCTGAGGGGCTCTTGGCTTCAAATTTGCCTCTCACTTTCTAGCTGACCTTGAACGAGTTACTTAACATTGTTTGTTCCTGTTTCCTCATCTCTGAGACAGGAGTCATGATAACATTTACCTGAGAGGGTTGTTAGTGGAGTAACTGAGGCAGGAATGTCATGTACTTAGTATGATGCCTGGCATCAGGCAGGTGCTTAGTAATGGGCCTTCATTATTTTTAGTAACCTGTTGAGTCTCATCAGCTTGGTGATAGCTTGGGGAATATCCATTCTGAGCCCAGTCCTTGCCCACTGCTCTGCCTTCCTGAGTGCCAACAGGGGGAATGGCAGAAAGAACTCCAGCAGGAGACATGGGTGTTTTTGCCAGCTCCATCTTCTGCCAGCTTTGAGGTCTCAGGCCTCAGTCTCCTAAATAGATGGGACTAACCACGCTGGGCTTACAGTTTTTGGGTCAAATGAGAGTAGATATAAAAGGTGTCATACACCAGAGGGATCCTTGATCTGTGCCACAAAGCCAACTTTAACGTCCCATTGTTTCTCCTGATGTTTGTTTCTGGCCTTGGGGTGCCTGGGCCTGTAGCAGGGCAGCTGGTGAGGATCAGCAGAAGAGTATCGCCAATGGGCAAACTACTCAGGCTTCAGAGTCAGGCTCGAGGCTTGTACAGTCAGCAAACATTTACCAAACACTCAGCTTTGTGCTTAGCCTGTGCTAGGTGCCGAGGACACAGCCTTGAACAACATGGGATTGAACTGCACGGGTCTCTGTACATGTGGAAACCTTATACTGCTGTTCTGGTGAGAAGCCCGCTTCCCACTGGCATCTCTCTGGAGCCTGGCACTTGCAGAACAGGGCAGGAGCTCCTGCCCGGGCGTCAATGGGCTCATTGTACTTGCTTCCTGAGCCTGCTTCCACCTCCTTCACCCCTCAGATTTACTGTCAGAACCTGTGTCTGCTGGCCAAGCTTTTCCTGGACCACAAAACATTGTACTTTGACGTGGAGCCTTTCGTCTTTTACATCTTAACTGAGGTGGACAGGCAAGGGGCTCACATCGTCGGCTACTTCTCTAAGGTGCTGGGTCGGGAAGCCCAGGTTGAGGGAGGGTGGAGAATAGGAACTGGAGTAGGGGCTGAGCCTCCCTAGAGTTTCTGATCTCTCACCACGGTAGGAGAAGGAGTCTCCAGATGGGAACAACGTGGCCTGCATCCTGACCCTGCCCCCCTACCAACGCCGTGGCTATGGAAAGTTCCTTATTGCTTTCAGTGAGTGGCTCCTGGCCTGTCCAGGATGGGACAACTGTTGTGGGGGTGGAATGCCAGAGCGGAGCTGGGTTTTCAGGACTCTCCTTTCTCCCACTGCCAGGTTATGAGCTATCCAAGCTAGAGAGCACAGTAGGCTCCCCTGAGAAGCCACTGTCTGACCTGGGCAAACTCAGCTACCGCAGCTACTGGTCTTGGGTCCTGCTAGAGATTCTGCGAGACTTCCGTGGCACACTGTCTATCAAAGACCTTAGGTGAGGGCCCTGGTCCCCAACCCTGTCCAGGGCATGCTGTCTGTCCATCAAGGACCTCATGAAGCAGGTTTCCTGGAACCCTTAAAGAGGGAAGAGTAACTCCTAAGATTGGCCATGATCCTGTCTCCTTGTCCCCTTTTGCTGTCCCAGCCAGACCCCACAAGGGAACTCTCCCAGCATCTGCTCCATTTCTTTATGCAGCCAGATGACCAGTATTACCCAGAATGACATCATCAGCACCCTACAGTCCCTCAACATGGTCAAGTACTGGAAAGGCCAACATGTCATCTGTGTCACACCCAAGCTGGTAGAGGAACACCTCAAAAGTGCTCAGTATAAGAAACCACCTATAACAGGTAGGTGGGGGGCTACCTAGGGCGTGTGTGGTGGGGGTAGGTATAAGGACTACTGAGAGCCGAGGCCTCCTTTTTGCTGTCATATGATCCCAAACCAGTCTGACCAGCTCCCAGCACCAAAGCCTGGGGCAGACTACTCATGCCTGGGTTTCCCTGCCCCCTCCCCAGGACTCAGTCTGCTCTTGTTTTCACCTAGAGGTGAAACCTGGCCTGGGCCCAGAGGCCGAGCCCTGCCTCTCATGCCTCTTTTCCCCACAGTTGACTCTGTCTGCCTCAAGTGGGCACCCCCCAAGCACAAGCAAGTCAAATTCTCCAAGAAATGAGTGGCCTGTACCCCTGCTGCTAGACCTGCACCTCCTTGCCCCTTAGCCTGTAAATATGTACAAACCTGTTTCGTCATTTTTTAAATAAAGTAAGTTCTCCTGGTGGCTCTGGACTTCAGAGGTGGGAGGAAGAGGCCAAGAGCTGATGTTCTTCATGGTATGTCTCACACACACAGCCAACTGTGCTCAGACCATTTTACTCCTTGTAAACCCCCACCCCAGATCCAAGCCCAAGCCCAGTTCCGGTGGGGGCTCAGTCCTCCGGAGTCCAGGAGTTGGGGTTCAAGCGGGGCATGGCAACCAATGGGGCAAGATTGAGGCCTTTTCTGTCCTTGAAAACATGCTGTCCAGAGGCAGCTGTGGCCCAGAAGACAAGAAGAGGGTGAAGTGATGGGGCTTATCAGATGGAGCAGGTGGGGCACTGGAGCCAGCCCTTCAGCAGCAGTCAGCTGGGAAGCTGCCCAGTCTTCTAGAAACAAAAGAGCCAGGGCCCATTTTCTTAGCTAAGGGTCCTTGGGGGCTCCATAGGAGCCCAACCAATAGGCTTGTGGGGAACAGCTGGCCAGAAGTTCTAGCCAGTACATAGGCAGTAAAACTCTAGACTATGGGTTGTAGTCCCAAAGAACAAACCCAGGAGAGTGGGCTCAAAAGTCAGGATGGTGCCCTGGATTCCCATAGGGTCCTGGGAGGAAGGAGTGACTAAAGCCAGGCCTCAGTCCCAAAGAGTAGCAAGGAGGGGTCATGTCCATTCCTGGGAATGCAGATGTCTGTCCTTGGGTGTGATATGGCAGTCCTGGAAGCAGGGTCAGCAGCTCAGTACTCCCACCATGGGTAGAGGAGGCCCAGGGTCAGGGCTAGTGGCAGCAGAAGGATGGGCCCCAGTAAACCCTGGGCCAGGGCAGAGTTGAAGGCCAGATGTTTGCTGCAGAGGTTGATATCGGGCTGGGACTCTTGGAATTGAGGGAGCACACGAGGCTGGAGCTCTGCCACATGGCGGTGAATCCAGGAGGCATAGCTGGAGGTCAGAGTGTACACACCCGGCCTGTTGGGGGCCCCACAGGCATCACCCCAGCTCACAATGCCCGCCAGGTACCAGAGGCCCCCAGCAGGGCATGAGAGTGGGCCCCCAGAGTCACCCTGAGGAGAAAAGCCATACAACAGCTGTCAGGACCAGGCCCCAGGCCTCCAGTCACATATGCCCTCATTTCCCAAGATGCACTTGTCTCATGTCTTCCACTGGACCCCCTGTATTTACCTGGCAGGCATCCATGCCCCCCTTCACGTAGCCAGCACACACCATGTCCTGCTGGATAGAGTGGGGCTCACTGGGCTTGGCGTCGATATTGTACAGGCAGTTACATGTTTCACGACTGATCAGTGGTACTTGAAGTTGCTGTAGTGGCCTGGGGGCCTGGAGGCTCACTGTGGGAGCAAAAGATGCTTAGCCAGGGCCTCCTACTCTGAGTCAGTCTCCCTCCATGCCTCTAAACATCAGCGTCCAGCTCACCTGAAGGGGCCACATGGCCCCATCCAGTAACAGTACATTGGAGGCCATTGGGGAAGGAGGCATTGGCTGCAGGGAGGCAGATGGGCCGGATATAGCGGGAGAAGGTGATGGGGCTGCTGAGATGGAGGAGTGCAATGTCACCCTGGGAGCCCTCGTGGCGGTAGCTGGTGTGAAGGATGATCTGTGCCACGGTGCGGACCTCAGCCTCAGGGGTGTAAGCGTCCAGCTGGTGGGCCCCCAGCTTTACCTCGTATTCTTCCTTGTAGTGTTCCCTGCGAGCAGTGGGCAAAGGCTGGGACTCAGGAGACTTGTCCTGGTTCCTTGATCCCGGTTGCCTTGCAGCATCCAACCCCAGATTCTGATCCCAGGCAAAGGACCATTCAAGCCCCAAACTATGCCCTCGTTTTATCCTCTGACCTGTTACTTCTGGCCTTCATTCCTGATTGGTCCTTTCAGACTTTATTGATACCCCTGGACCCAACACAAACCTGACCTCTGACCTAAACTGACCCCTGAACTTTGACCTCCAGCCCACTTTTGACTTCCCTGCCCAGCTGGTACCTTGGGAAGCAGTGAGCAGCCGACAGCACCCACTGCTCAGAGACGAGAGAACCGCCACACACGTGGATGCCATCATAGATGATGCTGACCTGCCAGGGCCACTGGCCTGGGGCTGCACTGCTACCACCTGTGATGCGTGCTTGGGAGGCCACACCGCAGGAGACTGCCCAAGGAGGAAAGGGAGGGAGTCAGGCCCTTCTGGGGTCCCCACACCAGGTTCTTAGCTTGGTTTCGACCTTAGGAAGAGTACACAGATGCCAGCCACCCCTTTGTCACCATCCCACAGCTTCCCAGGCATGGTCAGTTTTGCTGCCTTGCCATCCTTGACCCATTACCTAACTCAGGTCTCATACAGCTTCCTTCCTCTCAGGTCTTCCTGCCTTCCATTCAGCCCATTCCTTATAAGTCTGAAGATCTTTATAAACAAGAAATCTGGCTGGCTCATAACTGTTTAAATCCTTCCTTGGTTCTACACTGCTATTAAGATACATTCCAGGCCTTCCATGACACTGCCATCTATTCCAGCTATCCCTCTAGCCATCCCCATCACAGACAGGGGGCCACACACACTTGTTCGCTTCTAGATCTTGGCTTATCCAGGTCACTCTACCTGGAATACCTTTCCTCATCCCTTCTTTGCTCAGCAAACTCTGATTTGCCTATGGAGGCTGTTCAAATGGCAGCCCCTCCTTAGCCTGCCCTGACCTGCTTAGGCAATACACTGGAGTTCCCAGGGCCTGACACTGCCCAATCACAGGATAGTTCTGTCTGCTTCAACCACACCAACCTGGGCACTCCCTATAAGGGTAAGGACTAGAGCAGAGCCCTATGACCCCAACGCATAGCATAGGGCTGGGCACACAGATAGAGTAGTGGATGTGTATTGAACAAAGGAATAGAACAGCGGGGCTCTCATGGTGCAAAGGCTGCCCCGCCCCCACAGAGGCCAGCTGTTAGGAACAGGACCCAAAAGCCCTTCACAAAGTCACCTTCCCAGAAGCAAAGAAAACTGCCTAGACAGGCTCCTCCTCCTCTCTCCATAATAATGACAATAGCTACTATTTAGTGACTGTTAAAGCAATGCGAGGCCCTGCAGGGGCTTTCACTTCCTCTATCTTCTGCACTCCTCACAAGATACCAAGAGATAGACATCAACTTCAGTTTAGAGGTGAGAGGACTGGCCAACCACACAGCCCGTAAGTGGTGAAGCCAGGACTGAAAACCTGACTCAGTCTGATGGTGTGCCTTTGAAGAAAGGAGACCTTCATTTCCCCCAAAACAACCCACCTTTGGAGTCAGACCCAGCTCTGCCATTTGTGTGCCTTTAGGCAAGTCAGTTCTCTATACCTCATCTTCTCTATCCCTAGAATAAGGGTTATAATCTCCGTCTCACAGAGCTATTGGGGGGACTTAAATAAGACAATAACGGGTGGGGTGAGCCAGCCAGGCCGAAAGAGGGTCAGGCACTCATTAAACATTCCATGGGAATCTGAAT